TCACCTTTTGCTGCCATTGTAATGTAGATACACCCACCTATGACGTCATCAAACAACTATGAATATCATTTATTGTAGCAATACTAATAATCATGTATAAAACCACACAACAAACAAGGTAACACTAATCCTATTATCAGTGTTATTAAAAGTAACTAATTAATAATTTCTTCAGTAACTAATTAATAATTTCTTCAACTGGTTCATTCCTAATGAAAGGTATTCCCAGTGCATCACCATGTGAATTCCATATACGGTAACCTGAGGAGACTAGCTCTCTTCCTGTGTAGAATAATAATAATAATAATAATAATAATAATAATAATAATAATAATAATAATAACAATAATAATAATTGTTAAATAATTCAATTTATTATTAATATCTAACCTAATGTTAGTTTGTATTTGATTGATGGGAACAAAGTGATCGAACGAGGATCAATCTGACAGCCGCTGAGAGTGAAATCAGAAATCTTGAAATTCAACTAATATAAAAAGAAATAGCATGATAATCAACTGGCTACATATAGCATAAAAACATAACATGTACAGGTATATATCAAACAAAATTATAAAAATGGACAATTCTCCTCTGGCCATTTTTGACAAAATAGCCTGTACTATAGTCCATAGTATTAAACTGCAGCTTTAATTTTAAACAAAAATCCAATTTTGATTGGAATCCTCTGAAAATAACTCTACATAATGCAGTCAATCTATTTTACATATTCCTGCTAATCCATAACTAATTCACAATACTAATATACTAAATACTGATTCTACATGTACCTCACAATAGCTGTTCTGCTCAACACAAAACTTTGCATCAACAGTTTTATCTCTCTCCTCCTCCTCTTCACTAGGAAACTCAGTGAATGTCACAGTAACACTGAGGGACACTTCCAGTGACTTTACTGGGAACTTCTGTCCAATATTCCACACTAGACTCTTATTATCAGGACCAATGCACAGACTAACTGATGTTGGTGATATGTTATCAATCTTCTCAATAGTTCCTCTACAATAAACAAAATTTTAATACCGTATAGCGCTTTATTTTGGCGGCGCTTCTGCTGTAAAATTCTAATTGGCGGTTTTTAATTTGGCGATTTTTGTGTACACATGCATTACTGAGCATGTGCATTAATGATTGGTGGTTTTAATATTGGTGATTCTGCTTGCAAACCGCCAATCGCCAAAATAAAACTCCACCATATTAAAGCACTATATGGTATATGGTAGTACAATTATATTTTTATTTATATATTTATTGGTTAACCTGTTAAAAAAAGGAATCACTACTTCACAGTACTCAAAGTTGTTCCTAATTGTTTCGTGTAGCTTCAATTGAACGAGTAGCTCAATAGTTCTATCACCCTAGAAATAATAATAAAGAGAGACACCAAAGATGCATGGCCTCGCCTCTAAAGCTGTTCGGGAGGCGTTAGGCTTAGCTAACAAAGCAAAGCTAGCCTATGCAAAGCTGGGCGAGGCCAATAACATTAAAGAAAGAATTAAATAAGTCAATACAATACATTTAGAGTGAAGAAACTGCAACCAGTTTCAAAATGGTTCATTTTTATGGACAAAATAGCTCGAGAAAGTTTATGTGACTCCAATCATCAATTGATATGCTTAACTCAATCTTGACCATATTATGATATTACTATATTCATGTACCTATCTCAACACTTTATATGATCAATATATCTTATTAAAAACTTATTCTGATTCATGTACATGTACATACCTTCATTTGATAGAATCCTCTTATTGGTATCAAAGCTGGTGACTGTTGATAATGACACAATGTGAATGTCTCCAGAGGAGCTGAGAACCTAACACTCCTTGAATAATGAGGAGTGTCAGTGTGTCTATTAGTAGTATCAGCTAGTACTGGCTCAGCATCAGACGACTGTACACAAGAATGAACAGTTAAGTGATCAAGGTGGGAGGAGTCAGGAGGCGTGGTCAAGTTTAATACTATGTCAGGGTGACCCTCAAGTTCCGCCTATTATATGAAATAAATGTTTATTAGTTTGTGTATTTTAATCAATCATTATACAGCATTTTCAATTATACAGTGTATATGCTATTAAAAATGAGAAATTCATTGCACTAACTAAAAGTACATCATTCTATCATATTATCCTTACAGTTTAATTAATAATTCTAATTAATAATAACTCGTTATGTACCTTGCATAATACTGATCCATACAATTGACATATGTCTTCAATGTCTTCTTTATCATACTATTGGTATGTAAATTAAAAGTCACAGCAACCCACTCACCTGGACAGCCCTAACTTCTTCTTTTATTCTAACATTAAGTTTTGAGCTTCCTTTATACACAGCTGGTCTCCATGAAGGAATCTAATAAGCAACAAAAATCGGGTTTTATCAAACACGGCTCAAAGCATTAAGTACAATAAGATTAAAGTAATCAAAGCATATAATAATAGTCTGATAGTAACTCTATACCACTTTATATTGGTGGTACTTTATTGTCATGATTTTACCATAAACAGTTTAACTGGTCAAAGGTTAAGTCCCATAGGAACACTAAGAGTTGGTCTTCAATAATAAACAGGCCAGCAGTATCACATTTAAATGGAGTCCATTATCTTTCCCAATCAAACATTGAGTCCCCCCAGCAGTATATCCACAATAATATACCACTACACAAACACTGTACCTTTTCCTTTGGCATAGCCAGCCCTTTCCTAAACTGGATCTGAAATTTCAAGTTAGAAGGATTAGTTTCATTAGGTGTACCAAAAGGAGCAGCCAGACAGAGGTACTGATATAATTCAGCTAACTGTGGTGAACTGGTCTCAAGTTTAACAGCTGAACTAAGTACCTCCATCATTCCCTCCAATAATGACACAGCAGCTGCAACACTGGGTCTATAATAGTATTGTTATAAAAAATAAATATTATCCCTAATACGTATATTGTCTAATACATGTACATGCACAAGTACTACAAAGTTTCTCATAGGACTTTGGCATAATATAATGCTTATGCAGCTTCTCGTCAGTGGTCACTGTCAAAGTCAAAAACAAGGCTAAAGACCCTGTACTATAGTAAATAAAATAGTCGTTAGCCAAATTTTATCAAAAATGAAATGGAGAGAATTCTCTATTTTATAATTTTTTCTGATACATATACATGTACTTATGTTGTGTAGAAAGTTTGAGCAGATTCCGATTAAAAGTAGATTTTCTATGAATTTTTAAAGCTGCTCCAAAATTCGGTCAAAGTCCCTGTACTGTAGTACAGGCTCTTTGGCCAAAATTTGCTAAAATTGAAAAGGAGAAAATTCTCTGCTTTTATAACTTTTTCTGATACATATACATGTACTTATGTTGTGTAGAAAGTTTGAGCAGATTCTGGTTAAAAGTAGATTTTCTATGAATTTTTAAAGCTGCTCCAAAATTCGGTCAAAGTCCCTGTACTGTAGTACAGGGTCTTTGGCCAAAATTTGCTAAAATTGAAAAGGAGAAAATTCTCTGCTTTTATAATTTTTTCTGATACATATACAGGTACTTATGTTGTGTAGAAAGTTTGAGCAGATTCCGGTTAAAATTGGATTTTTTTACAATTTTTTAGAGTTCTTCAAAATGCCATGTACATATTATAATGTACATTTACTTGTCAGCTCATGAAGCTCATGCTGTTTAGCTCACTTAGCATGCTTTGTGGGAAACCATGTGCACATGCATCAATAGCAATTGTTTAAGGATTAAAAATTGAATTCAGTGTAGCATATAATACATAATGTCTTACATCATAATGAGTGATGGTCTCTCATTGTTGATAGGATCAT